TGTGTGATCCAGTTAGCCCCACGCATATACATCGCTCCTATATGACCTTATACCAAACCCAAAGCAAACTTACTGCTATTGAATTGATTCCAACTCATTATGAACCTCATAGGACAAAGTAGAACTGCCCTCTGGGTTTCTGAGATGGTGACTCTTCACTGAAGTAGAAAATCTCATCTTTCTCCTGCAGAGAAGCTGCTGGTTTCAAACTGCTGACCTTGCGGTTATTAGCAGCCCAACAAGTAAGCTACTATTCCACTAGGGGTCCCCCACCTTATGCAGTGAGAAGGAAGCCAACTCACTGCCCTCATGTTGATTCAGACTCAAACTGACCTCACAGAGCAGAGTAGAACTGCCCCACTGGGTTGGCCAGGCTCTAACTCTATGGAAGCAGAATGCATCATCTGCCCCAAGAACATCGAGGCACCGCCAACCCTTGTGGTCCACAGCTCCATGCACCACCCATCACACCAGGGCCCTCAGGAGGCCTCAGGAACCTCGGATGGGCTTACATTATGCCGGACTCTTCTCTGTTTCTCTATTCTTTAAAACGAAATATAAGCACTCTAAGAACTTTCATTAAAATTCATTGAATGCAATGCATTTCCTTCCCCATGAATCAATGGTGCATAGTATTGCTCCAAGTTTTTTTGTTCCCCAATAGTTTTAGTGGCACATAATTTAAATATCACAGAATTGGAAATTCCAATCGTTCATTTCTCTTTTCTAAATGGTAGTAGTTCTTGCTTAAGTTACGGACGAAATCTGACGCACTGTTTGGCCGCGAGGCACAGGTACTGACACTGGTGGAGCAGTTCGCATCCTTACACGGTGAGGTGCGCACCTGAAATGATGAGCCCCAACAGTGCCACAAAGCCTACCAGTTTTCAATGCGTCTTTTTTCAGAATTAAAATGTTAATTGTCTATTAACCTAGTCTGCTGAAGTAAGATGATCCCCACCCCCCTACGATTTCTTTTCAGTGGTTATGCAAAGGAATCTATAGGTATCTAGATTCAAAGCAATCTAATCTCACATACATCTGTCAGAAACTATCAGCAAACCATGTGGAGCCATAGGGCAGGGATAGCCTATGTGTGTGATGTGGGTGGGGCACTCACTGAGTGACACTCACCAGCTATTGCGCCAGCCAAGAGCAGGCTTCCGGGGCCAACGTGCCCATCCTCGTTCGCAAAAGAAGCCTTCACATGGGCATAGCATGGGAAGTAGATGGCCGAGAAAGGAATGTCCCGTAGAAAACATGCTTTGGCACCCTGTGCATTTGAAAGGGAAGAAAAACCACATGAAACACAAGCTTTGCTGGAACTCACCTCAGGACAAAATATTCCTAAAGAACAAATCTGTATACACAAGTTGACCCCATCCCTGCCAAATTCTGTAAGTAACAAATTTAAATAATTGAAAAAAAAATCGGTTCTTGATGTTAAGAGAGATTGGGAAGGCAGCTCTGATTTATTTGAATGCTGGTATTCTATGATGAAATCTGAAGTTCTGCCTTTATAAACCCCAAAGCACTGGCATTTCAAGGAGGATCAGTTCTCTGGTCTCAGTAAAAGGCAAAACCCAACACATTGTTCATTCATAGTCAGAGAAGTAGACAAATGTTTGAGAATCTTATGATAGCTCTGAACACTTCCCTGGGGGAGGAATCACACCTGCATTAAAATTTTTGGTGTTCAAGGGTTTACCCTATAGTTTATGCATATATTGCCTTACCAGGCTTTGAAAATATTAATGAATGCTTGTTCTAAAGCCTTAAACTATTTAAAACAATTCTGCAACATTTAAGAGCTGTGTGTAGAACAATTAGTTCCCAAAGCAAATGATGGCTGGCGCCAAGATGCATCCTAGGAAGGTCCTGACAACTGATGGCAGCACCTGGAAATATGATACAACATTATCACAAACCAAAGACATCTTTATACCGCATACCTTTTCAACCTGGGGCCCTGGGGGTGTAGTGGTCGCACACTGGGCTGTTCACAACAAGAACAACAGTGGGAACCCGCCAGGCATTCCATAGGAGCTTTCTGATCCCCCAAATATCGCCAGCCTAGGGGGACTGAAGGGAGGGTTCTGCTCTGCCCTATCAGTCAGAACAACTCCATCGGAGCAGGGGGTTTTTGGAACGATTTAATTCTGATTCTTTTACAAGTTTCTAGACCTAAAGAAATTATCACAGAATTACGAGTCCTAAAAGAAAATAGTATAAGTCCATCAGAATTCAGTGGAATTCGGGTCAGCCTGATGACATTCACTGAGGTCGAGTACAGTGGTTTCCCTGTGGGGCTGCTAAGCACGAGGTCAGCAGTTCGAACCCGCCAACTGCTCTGAAGGGCAGCGCGGAGGCTTTCTGCTCCTGGAAAGATGTATGGCCTCAGAAACTGTACATAAGTTTGCCAGGAGCCAGAATTTAATTGAATGAAGGGGTTTGGTATTTCGACTTTTCGTGCTAAGACCATGGAAGACTGAAGTATTGATGCATCTGAATGAAGGTGTTGGAGGAGAATATGAAAAAAGACCACGGACTGCCAAGAGTAACAGATACGTCTGTCTTGGAATTAGAGCGAGGATGCTGAGGCTTCGTGTCGGATGTTTTGGACATGTTATCAGGAGGGACACTCCCTGGAGAAGGACACCACGTTCTGTTGTGTGAAGTAGAGGGTCAGCAAACGAGAAGAAGCCCCTGAGGAAACGGACCGACTCAGTGCTGCACCGGGAGCACAAACACAGCACCAGGTCCCATGCTGGGGCGGGGCTTCATTCCCGTGCGCACAGGGTCACCGTGAGTTAGCACTGACTTGACGGCACCTAACAACAGCGGCGATGGTGAATCTTGGTACTTTCGTTTGCTGCTAGGCTCTACTCCAATCTGCCAAAGTTCACTAACACTAAACATCTGCTATTCGGTCCCTGGCTTTTCTGATCCTCGCGTTGTCGCACTCCCAATCAGTCCAAGCCTGTGGGCAATGGAACCCTTAGCCTTAGTCTTTTCAAAGGAACCCTGGCCTGTGGCAAATCAGACGCCTTGGAAAAAGTAACCTTCACTGGACATTTTAGGTTGAATCCTATTAAATTCCATCTCCGTTTAACAGCTCCTTCTAACAGCATTCCCGTTAGGCATTTCCCTCTCCCTGATGCCCGGGTGAGGCAGTGAGCATGTTCTGGGAGGAACATTACTCGCTGGCCCTCTTCACTCCGTGAACATGTTTTCAGAACAGGGCGGACCTTCCTCCTACAATGTCAAGTAGCCCATGTTTCCGTATCTTGCCCACTCAAAAGGTGTGCCAGTTGAAATAGTCAATTAATAGGACCCTTCTTGCCGTAACTACTTATGTGATGCATTATAATTCTGGACTCTATGCCTGTGGCTGCAATCCCACGTTGGAGGGCGTTTTCCACTACACTAATGCAGGGCTATCAAACTGGCGGCCCTTGGGCTGCACGCGGCCCCCAAGGTAATTTTTTGTGGCCCGAGATTCTCTGAAATAAAATGAAAATAGAAAAAAACATCATGAAGAAAATAGCACTTAGGGAGACTGAGGCAATACCATACACACAATTCGCTCAAGATGTGACTGCTGGCTCAGGACAGGTGTGGCTGTAGACCAGTGATTGTATCTTTACTGTTTGCTGATAATCTAATAATCTATTAATGACCCTAATAAACCCCCTTAAATGTGAGTACTGTCTCTGAGTTCTGTGTAGCCATTGCAATGAATACTAGAACCCGATGGAAAAATTAGATAGTATTGTTTGAGACAAAACACAGTCAATATCTGAGCTGAATTAAGAATCACAAAGTCCATCAGAGCAAACTCCACACTTAACGTGTGTTCAGGACACAAGAGCTACCAACTATGTGTTTGTATAGGGGACATCTCTGAAGGCAATGCCAGACCCTTGTCCCAAACTCAGAACACTTTCGTCATCTCTCCCACCTCCCCTACAGCAAAAGGGGGAAACACTGTGAAATACCAAGATCTATGTGTACTGTCTAGTTGACTCTTAAAATCCCAGGGTCGCTGGCTTGGGGTCACATATTGAAAGGCCTCCTCTATAGTAGGTTATGGAGGCCAGGTACACCTGTGACAAAATAGGGTGTCCTCCTTTACTGTTTGCAGCTGTTGAAGTTGACAAACTCAGCTACCCTCCAAAAACTGCCTTGTCTTTGTTTCATGTTAAGCCAAGGTAGGCACTATGTGGAAGGGTGACAGCAAACCTTGAAGGTTCCCCGTTTTCTCCCGCACTGTCCTATCTTGCTTCCAGTCCCCTCTAGGAATTCTGCTAGCTCATTTGGGCGGGGGCAGATCCTCCACAGAAGAGATGTGCTGTAGATGCCAAACAGCAATTCCATTTAGACCAATTAGACATTCTTCAGGTCTGGCTTGAAACCAAAGCCCTATTACTGTCTTCCTGGAAAAAACAAAAAAATCACCTTGGAGTCAATGCTAAGGTAGCATCATTCCTCCTCCCACAAATTTGGCTTCGTGTTAGATCTGTTGCTTCTTACCTTTAACCGCATCTCCCAACTCTGTATACCTTACAGCCGAGCTTCGTCTATGCTCTGTCATTTTTTTGAGACGAATACCTTACCTTTAAAGTGTCCTACCTCAACGTTCTTTCTAATTCACGAAGTGTTCCATTTGTGCAGCTCTCTGCTGCTCATTTCGGGTTGCCATGAGATCATAAAATAATATTTTAAACGTATGGAAGGTTTATCATAGAAAATACAGAATACTGAAAATGTTAAATGCTCATCATTTTCACCAGGGATAAACTCTGCACCTCTAATGAATATTCTGGAGTATATCCTTCAACACCAATATTAACAACCAGCTCACATGTTTATGTGGTTTTTCCTCTTCATTAAGTTTATGGGTAGGATTTTGTTGTGGGGGAGGGGGCGCTAGTTATAGCATTTCTTTTATTCCTCAGTGCCTAAATTTCCTTTCTATTGGTTGTTTCAAAAGCTCACCATCATCTTTGGTCTTGGATTTGGCACAGGATTCTCTCATCACTTCACTCCCCCAGTTCCCTCTCCCATTAGCCAATTCCTTGTGGGTAAAAACTCTCACTGCCTCACTCACCTATCTAATCACACCAGCCTCTCAAATACCACCTCTTCATTCATTTAAATCGCACCTACCACGCTTTCTACTGAGGACCCTCTCGCTAGAACAACAGGAAGGAAATTCCACACAGCCCACATGGTCTACACGCTCTTAAATTCTTAAATACGGGTCAAGTTTTCTTCATGCCCTTATATCATCTACCTATGCCAGGGCATCTGATTTCTGATTACAAGCAATCAGCGGACAGGAATGACCGTCTGATACAAGCTAGGTGGTTGTTGTTCAGTACCATCCAGTCAGCTCCAATCCCCAGTGACCCGCTACACAACACCCTGTGGCCTGCACCGGGCCAACTGCGCTGATGTCTGAGCCCCATCGTTGGCAGCCACGGTGCCAGTCCTCCTTGTCGTGTGTAAAACGATCCAAAGCTTTGCCTCTCTCACTGGGCACCTACAATGTATTTCCACTGACACTGATTTTGCTCTGCTCTGAGTCCCATCCAAAAGAAGACCACAACCAAAAGGAGAAATGAAAGGCTTTGGGATGTACTACCAGAAGCTACCAGGCTTCTGTAAACACACACACACACACACACACACACACACACACACGCAGCCAAAAATCAAGCATGCTGTTTTTCAATGGAAGAAGACATTACGAACTGGGGACAAGTGACAGCCTTGAAGGAAACAATCTGTCCTTCTGTGCCAGAATATTCGAGCTGAAAGAAGAAGAGAGACTCATATGTCGTCTGCCAAATGGCTTCAATATGATCACAAGGCCAGGAGAAGTCAAGCTTTGAAACGAGAACCTTTCTTCTGCAGCAAGGAGGCGGCAGCACGGGAAGCAGTCTGCGGTCCCAGCCCCTCCCTCCCATCCAGAAGTCACGAGAGTCCGGTATCAGGGCACACAAAAGGGCCTGCCAGGTGCTGCGGCATGCCTGACGAGACGTCTGAAGACTATTCTAAATGGCTGAGACGAACACTGAACTCGGTAAAATAAAAACCAGACAGGCCAACCAACCAACGGACAAGGCTGAGCAGCTTTGGGAAGCACTAAAGCCAAGGGAGGAGTGGGCCCAAGCTACTTTTCCTACCTGGAACCTAGTGCATGCTCATGGAGGAGCTGTAGTGGCACAGCACTCGTGAGTTGGGCTATGAGCAGTTCCAAACTACCAG